TGAAGCTGACTATATCTAGCGTTAGTGTAAGTGGTGAGAAATTAAAAAGGCTATGCAGCAAAAATATAAGAGGGCTATTTTTTTTGACAATACTAAGAAACAGCAGGTCTGCTTTGGGAATTTCTCTGATTTCTAAAAATTAATTCAGTATTGCAGATTTTACAGGGTTTGGTTAAAATATAAATTTTAGGTGTTTCATAACTAAACAAAGTATGGCATTTTCCAAATGCTTGCTTTTGTGTGTGTGTGTGTGTGTATATGTGTATTTATATACACAAATGAAAAATATATTTCAGAACTGTGGGAAGGAAGGGAATTTAAAAGTGCAAGTAGAGTAAAAAATACTTTCTGGCCCCAATTAAAGCTCTTTATACTTGTAACAAATAGGAGAATTCTATTATTTTAAAACTTTCAGACTTGGGGAGAAGGAACTGCTTTTGGGTTTGGAAACCAATACATCTAGGTCCTAGGGAAATAACTTAGACAAAAGTCCAGCACGTTCTTGCTGGAAACAGTGCTGCACATTTGACAAAAAGCAAGACCCACAGTTATTTATACTATTTAAGTAAATAGTGCTAGTGCAGGGAGTAAAAACTTTAACAGCATCGGTGTGAGCCAGATAGTTTGAACAACTTACTAATGTTGAAGGAGAAAGTGAAAACATTTAACATATGCACTATCACCAACTCCTGCTTAATGGTATTCACCCTTCAAGGCAGCATGTAGGAATTAAGGAGTAAATTTTTCTCTAGCATGAGACCCACTGGTCATGAGACTCAGCTGGTAGTTGTCATCATCAGGGATTCTGGTTTTCTCTGTTTAAAAATCGCAAGTTCTCTGATTTACACCCCCCCCCATCCACAATTCAAATGAAACACCTTATATATTAATGGTGTTTCATTTGAATTGCAGATGAGGGGGCGGGGGTTAGTCACTGTTCGTAGGCTTCCAAATTGCTTTAAAATGGTAATATATCAATAAAACATCGTGTTCAAATATCAATTGAACACGATGTTTTATTGATATATTTAGAATTTTAAAGCAATTCGGAAGCCTACCAGTGCCTCAGTCACTAATATAATAAAATTAAAATCCTATAAATTTTGGTATTTGATTTTGGGATTTTTATCATGGAAAATCAGAGCCCCCTCCGCCTCCTTTGCTTACCAGGATGCAGGTCCAGGCCTCCCAGCCCTGCTGGACAGAGTCCCCACCTACCAAACCTATTGGGCCAAGGACCCTGGTCTGCAGCCCCCTTCCCCTGCAGCAACACCTGAGCCCTGACTGCCACCTATGACGGCTGCTGCGACTGAGTGGAATGTGGAGCCTGGCTCCCCTCCTCTATGGGCAGCACAGTCCGAGCAAAACCCGTCGGAGAGGGGTGGGGACGGATGCAGGCTGCCCGATGCAGGCTGCCCACTGCAGGCTTGGGCTCCCTGCCCTGCTGCCCTCCCCCAGGGCTGCTGCGAGCCCTGTACCACCACAGTGAGGTGCCCCCTGCCTACCTGGCAGCAGCAAGAGGCATAACTCCATGCTGCTGCGGCTGAGTGGGCAGGGGACCTTTCGCCAGGGCAGTGCAGGGCTTGCAGCAGCAAAGAGCTTTCTTGCCCCGCTGTAGCCTGCTGCGCCGTGTCCCACCTGCTGGGCTGTAGAGGGTCTCGGAGAAGGGCATCAGGGAAGGGAGCCTTGAGCCTGCAGTATGCATCCCACCCCAGCTCCACCCCGTACACAAATCTGGGGGGCATATGCCCCCCCTGCCTCCCCTCCCCAGGAGCGCACACAGCAGCAGGAAGCCAGCCCCATCCCCCCCCCCCCCCGGCCCCTCCCCCCCGGACAAGCCACCTACAGCTCCGTCCTACACCTTGACTGGGCTCTGTGGCCGTACATTGGGCCCCAAGCCTCGCACACTGCTGGAGCTGGGCAACAGCCACAGCCCTGACCAGATCCCTCCCTCCTTCCCTTCCTATGAGGGCCTCAATCCCCCCTCCCACTCTGCCAGACTTACCTGCAGGAGCTGCTCTCCATGCTGCTTGGCAGGCATGCGCATGTGTGAGCACACACATGCACATGGCACCCCCTGCCTGACTGCCCTCCTCCTGTTCCCACCAGCCCCTTGCAGGCTGGAACTCTGCCAGTTTGCAGAGAGCTCCTTGCAAAAGTGGAAAATCTGTGTGTTTCTCTGTTAAAATGAAACATCCACGTTTTTCTCAGTTAAAAGGGCAAATACACATTCCTTCCCCACCCCCGCCCCTCCATTTTTCTGTGGGAAACAGAAAACCCAGAACCCTGGTAATCACCTCGATGAACATCAGTCCTAAGCAGGTATTTACTAAGGTACTGGCCAGAGGCCCTGATCTTGATCATGCCTCTGTGGTTCCAGGCACAAAAGCAGACGTGGTCTCTGCTCCTGAGGGTTTACAGTAGAGTGGGAGTCTGGCATTACATACGCAATTTCAAAAGTTGCCCCAGACTGACTGGAAGCTTTTTGCATGATAGTGCTTCAGAAGATGGCTGGAAGATTCAGACGCTTGTACATGCCATTAAAAACCTTCATTGCCCACTGTGAAAAACAGATTTTGGGTTATTTTTAGTATATGTGCGCCTGTGACTCTGTGATTAATAGGTATGTGTTGCTATGTAGTGCAATGTCTTGTTTTCATTTGTTGCTAAGGCCTTGATAAACCTTCTAGGGAATATGGGGGAGATGTGCAGCTGACTAAGCCGAGACACTCTCTCCAAATAACTGTGATTCTTGCACCATGAAAGGTATAGACATGCGTATTAGTTGGGCATCGCACACAAATGTTCCCTGTTGCCTGCTGAAGCTAGACATTGTGGGGGAAAGGAAAATAAAGCTGTGATGCAAAAGGAAGCATCGACATTTACCAACAGTTTACATGTCTAAATACAAGTCCTTGACACTTGATAAATATATTTCCATTAGTCAGTCATGACTCTTGGCCACATTTAACATTAGCAGGAAACAAACCTGTATAAAATGCACTCAAATGCAACAACTTCTGTATGATGCAGAGTGTCTTTGTACCCATGTTTGCAGTTAAGTATGCAGAGACAGAGAAATGCAACCATAAGGTTTAAATGGACGGAATTGTCTGACACAGCTGTCTAGTAAAGTCCTAGTAGTGTATGACATCAAAATACAAGCACTATAGACCAATACTGTGCCCATGTGAGAGAAACTGTCCAGAATGATAACTGGTGTTGGAACTATAATCATTGTATTAGCACTGATGCCATTGTTAGATCCTGACTGCTTGGCCTGTTGGCTGTGAAAGCCATGAGGTGTTGCTGTCAGTTTTCCTTGTGTCTACCTTGAAATATGTTCCTAGAAGCTGGCATCTGTGGACATCACTTTGAAGTGTAGTTCCAGGCTGTGGGTGGTGATGTTCTGTAGGGATATCATTTCCATTGTCTGCTTCCAAGAAACTTTAATAAGTAGCCTAGTGATGGTACTGATTGAATACAGCAGACCAGCCAGGGTGGGCCATGTTGAGGCCAGCTTCTGCTGCATAGTGGAGAAGGAAGTGACATGTATGTGTTTACTCTGTGGTTATTCTTGCAAAGGAGTACAACTCAGACCCACAAAAGACTCAAGTAGAATTAGGCACTGAATCTAACTAATTCTGTTATGGATCTGAATTCTATCCATGCCTAAGGTTTTTTGCCAGTAAAGTTTCCTAAACAATTAGTTGTCTTGGCATGGCTGACTTGGTCTGGCAAGTGGTGTTCTCAAATGTTAATTTTCATTTAATTTTAACTCTAAATTCCATTTTTTTAGAAACAAAAATATGGCAGATTCTCTTGCTCTTAATAAAAGGCAGGTATTAAATGGGTCCTGTTATCTGAAATTTGCTATCATTAATTCTCATCATGCTCTTGATTTTTAGAACCATGAAGATGGTACGTATTTGGTACAATATTGCTCAAAAAAGAGTTCTCAGACTTTTTCTTTTCTTTGTTTTACATTTGCTTATGCAGACCATACCTAACATAGCCATTTTGTTTTGGATGGTTGTTTTTAACTAGAGTACAGGTCTCAGATTAAAGAATTTATGTTAGTGTTTTGGCACTGACTGTATGTTCCCTATATACGCAAAAACAAAATCCACTAGGGCTCCATTGTAGGCTGACTAACTGTAGTAATGTCCACAGTAATTTATCTACTGCTTTCTGGACTAACTTTGTTGCTCTTCTGATAAGGAATTGGAATCGTTAAAAACTAACCTAGCAAAACTGCCGTAACGCTTTCTTGATAATAGGCACTACCTAAAATGGAAATATACACTGGAGCATCAACTCTGCTTTATAGTACAGGAAGACAATATTATGAGCTAACCTAATGAAGAAAATTTAGGTTTTCAAGCATATAGCGTGCTTTTAACACAAGCTATTGCATTTACTCTTCATGGTACATCCTAGAGTACTCTTTAAAGGTAACTTGAGTGTAAAAGCAAGGGGGCAAGTATATCTTCTATTACTTAAAGGACAGTGCTTTGCATCAGGCATTTTATAAATAAAATATAATGGAATGAAACTATCTCCTCTCATCCACACAAGGACCCTCAATCTGTATAGACAAGACACAGAGGAGCTGCTGTTAAGACTAATGGCACTTGCCAAGTCTCCAAAAGAAGAGTACTGTATGTAGGGGAAACAAGTTATTGACCACAGCTATCTTTTTATCCAGCTATCTTCTCCCCTCTTTGAATGTGGAATTGATACTGACAGTAACTATGTGGGTCAATCTGAACCATTTAGCTCATTCAGGTTTAAAAGATGCAAAGTAGTCCTGGGGGCCTGAAAGGTGAGGGGAATTGATGCAAGTATTCTAATTCCAGATACCCAAATACCCCTTTCTGAACTGGGATTTTAAGTATACGTGCTTGAAACCTATTTTTTTTCTAATTAAAAAAATGCCAAAAAATGAAATTTGGTCAAATGATTCCCCCCTACCCCAGCTTGTCTTCTGACTGCCTCTCCTCCTCCCTTCCTCCTCCCTGCAAAAAAACCCAGCCAAACAAAATATTAGGGAAGAAAATGTCTTTTCTAAAACTCTGAGAATATGGTCACCTTTTTTCTTGCCTCTTTTTTACTGGCATAGTACTTTAAGTGTGGGGAAGAAACTAACATCCCCTTCCCTCCTTTCCCCCCAAGTCGGAGTTGCATAAAAGTTATGACTCTTAGCCTTAACATAATTTTTCAGATGGAAAAAGTAGAGTGAAGGGAGAATATGTTGTTACCATTTTCCAATGGCAAAAATGAGGACAACTATTTTTCCATGCCCAGTGATCCTAGAGGAACTTAATGTCCCAAGTTAAAAATCTTGAATGGGAGAGACCCTCTTGAGAAAATCCTTTTCTGGTCAACACTTATCATAAGTCATGTCCAAGAGATCTATGAAAAAATCCAGTTCTGAAATATATACCATCTGGACATCTGAAGTTAACAGGCAGCAGCATACTTAAGTTCCCCATTAGCTTTGCTGAGGGTCCTGTAACAAGATACTGCAGTGACATTTGCAGCTGAGAGTCAGGGCATCTGAATACAATAAATGAGGAGAACAGTTATGTAGAGTTCTCTGCTCCCCTACTTCTGTTTACAAGAGACATGACCAAAATTGTTTTAAAATATTGTCTTCAGTGAAAGAGGGCTTGTAATTACACTGCACTACTCAATGTTCTAGCCTTTTAGTCAAGTTAAGACGGTGAAAAACTCAGTCCGGAAGTTGAGCCAAAACAGAGCCTCAGTGTACTGCAAGCTGTAATTTGATAGCCTTCTTTCTGCAGGCTTTGAGAAACCATTTTAACTCTAAAACTTTACATGGAACATCATTATGGATAGATAACTTGGCTTTATTTACCTCTCACTAATGTTATTAGGCCAAGCTGCTAATTACTTGTACTTGAATTGCCTGTTTGTTAAAGCTGGAATTCTGCTTTCTGTTCTGTATTATCTAAAATGTAGAAAGACTATGACTGTTCTTTGTAATATGCTTCTGAGTGAATTTAATGCACTGGGTTATACAACATGCTGTGATTGCTTACACCTTAATTAGCAGTGAAGTAGTATTTAGTTAATCTTATTAACTTGCCTCCAAGCAAGATAATTAGGGGGGGAGGTGGATTAATTTGGGCTTTAATGAAATGAAATCAGCTGTCTGAAACTTTTGAGACCTGATTTAATTTGAATATGAAATACCTCTAATGCAAATACAACAGGTGGCACTTTACAGTGGGGGCTCATCCCAGGAGCACCTGTACCTTCATATATGATATAAGGATTTATATATAGATTAAAATATACATTGGAAATTGTGATTTCAGTGTGTTTGTATAGGCCATTGCATTACGGTTAAATAGTGTTTGTTTTCAGTCCCTGATGACCTTGTTTAGAAACCTGGAGATGAAGGACTCTCTGCCTTGCTGTCCTGAACTATCCAGTCACTTGAGTGAGAAAAATGGAAACTGAACAGTTAACTGGAAGGGAGAGTGGAAGCAGTGCAGAGTGTCTGGCTGTAGACAGCCTGGGAAGTGACGTCTTGTAGCATTTGCTGTTCTAGAAAGAGCGGAGACACGTAGTGTAAATGGGAGGACTCTGGAGAGGGGCTGTCTCCCCACCAGTGTGTATATTTATCTATAAATGAGCAACAGGAGGGGAGGGAATGAAATAGGAAGAGCAGCCTACCATTACTCTGTATGCCAAGGGCTTTGCTGATTTGTACTAACTTTGTTTAAATAGCAGATGTGGTCTTTTTTTTTCACCTCTTCCCTCCAGTATCTGCATTGCTAAGACACGGGACACTGGTTTCTTTATATCAAGGAAAACCTAAATTCCTCTTACTTTCGGAATGGGGAAAGATTATTATTCAATTCTAGGAATTGAAAAAGGGGCTTCTGAAGAAGATATCAAAAAGGCTTACAGAAAACAAGCCCTTAAATGGCATCCAGATAAGAACAAATCCCCCCACGCAGAAGAAAAATTCAAAGAGGTTGCAGAAGCTTATGAAGTACTGAGCGATCCCAAAAAAAGAGACATCTATGATCAGTTTGGGGAGGAAGGTAAGTGGGTTTTTTTTCACTGCCTCTTCTGCACTTTTAAAGTGGATATTTGGTTATTTTGACTACAGTAAGACAACTTTAGGGAATATAACTTTTCAGTGCATGACTGTTTTCTGGTTTAGGCAGTATGTCTCTGATCTAGAGACAATAATCCTACAGTTAGCAACTGCTACATTAACAGATTTAATTGTGTATGTAATGTATCCTAAGAGTTTAATATTAGGCTATTCAGTTTTCTTTAAGGTAGAGAAAAGTCACCAACTCGTTGATAGGGAACTGCTAATTTTACTGCAAAGTTTCCTGTTACCCAGAGAGAGCTGATTGTAAGCCCTCCTTTTCCAGCATTTTTAAGATTGCCTTTAGACACATTATTCAAAGGGCTTTATTTTCTAAAGATTTTGCTAACGAGTGGCCTGCTTGGACAAGACCAGTCCCCCTTCTCAGCAAGAACCCAGGTGTCCAGTCCTTAGTTGTCCTTGGCTTCTTGCCTGGAGAGGAAAGAATTTGACTGATGTCATGAAATACCAGAACATTTTTTTTAACTTAATTGTAAACAGTAATAATGTGCCAAAAGAATGAGGCCCCAGAAATGTCATATTTAACCTAAAATGGTTATTTGACTATGAGGCTCTTTATTTCCAGCTGAAGTGGTTCCTCAGAAGTTATAGGACTGAGCAATCGAGAGAAGCATTAGTGCCCCTTATTGCTATCCATCCTGCTGGAAATTCCAAACTAGCTAAGTGCTTCCACAGACACAAGGAGGCCCATTCAATCATTACCATTCATTTGGGGCTAGCTTCTGATACTTGTACTCATCTCAAGTGGCACACTGGCTTTAGTAATTCCATTTTTTGGAGAACATTGCTACTTGAGATGATTCTAACTTACCAAATCTGTCCTTTTATCAAACAGTTTATTGGTTATGGATAAAAGCTGGATTTTTGACTCTGCATTGATTATTCTCTGGAAAACTTTAGCTTTTGTAAATGAGGAATGTTCCATTTTCTCATGTTTTACTTTGGAGTGAAGGAATTCTGCAGCTACAAATCTGAGTAGGGTTTCTACTGGTTCTAGCATCATTTTTTGAAAGTCTTGATGCCTGATCTGATCCTAGCCATAAAGAACCAAGGCCTATGTTTCCAGCTTGGTATAAGTCATAAGTCTTTTCACTTTTCAATATGATAGTATGCCTGCCTAAGCTCAAGATTTTATTTCTGTTCCATCCCAGTGGTACATTCTAATCCACACCTAAAAATATCATTTTAGTCAGATTTTCCTAAGAGCTCAAGGCAAGATATATAAAGTAACACATGGCACCACATACCTGAAGCCAGAGGTACAAAGCATATTCTATTTATTTTAAGCATAGTATTAACAGGAGTATCAACAACAGGTTCTCGTGGCTACAAATTTGGAAAAATCTGTTGATCCTTCAGTGACTGCCTGAGCTTTGTCATTGCTATCCATATGTAGTCAGTTATAAGGCTTTCTGCTTTTCTTACAGCCATGAACTCAATCAGTGTTCCTGTAGAAAAACCTGTTCACTGTCTATTCTAGGAACTGTCATTCTACATAGTCATGTGATGCAGTTTGTCTTCTATCTGTTTGACATTACCAGTTAACAGTACAACAAAAAATATTTTGAAATATATAATTTAGTATTAACATTGTGGCATTTTTATTCTAACGCCCCACTTGCTAAACATTCTTGTTCAATCCATATATGTCCCTTAAACTTTGGGGTGAAATCACTTAAGTTATCTTGGAGTTATACAAATATGGGGGAAAGACCTTTTCTTCATGCATGGTCTCTTTTTTTTTTTTTTTTGTTAAATGGCTGAAGTTGGACACATCTCTTGTTCTAGAGTCCTTATTTATACAGAGAGAGAACAATATATATTGGGGAATATTATTTTTGTGTTTAATATTTCTAGGGGTAAGTTGTGTGTTCTGGCTACTTCATATGCTGCAGAGGTAGAAGGACCCTAAAGCCAGCACAATAAGAGAGAATCTCTCAAGAGCAGCCAAAAAGCTGACTCGGCAGCTTTTATGCTGATCTCCTCTCTGTTACCAGCCTAAGGGGAATGACTGGGGTTCTGTTTTGCACATCTGATTCATGATTGTCATATTAACGTTCTTGTTAATGGCCCTGCAGCAGGCTGCATGTCTCGGGGCCTGTAGCTCCAGCTGCAGGCAGTAGGAAAGTGGTTACAGGCTTGCGGAGGTCTGGGCCAGCCAAGGAGGATAATTGCCTGGTGCAAAGTAAGTTTCATAGATTTCATAGACATTAGGGCTGGAAGGAA